TGGGTGTTAGGATAGGATCCAGAGCCCCAGAGATGTGTCCCCTGGGATTTACAGCTTCTCTCACCTCCCAGGAGCCAAGTGCCCTTTAACGCTGTTTTCTCCAAGTCCCCACTGACGGTCAGAGAACCCCAGTAGTAGCAGAATTCCAGAATGTGCTGGAATGCACTGGGGAAAGGCATCCATGGCATGGGGGACACAAACTGGGCTCTCCTGGGGGTTCAGGGGGTGGCTGTGGGAGGGCAGCTGTGCAGAGCCCCCTCCAGGCTCCAGCCCCACATTCCCCCATGCCCAGGACCTGCAACTGCAGGAGGGTGAGCAAGGAAACACCTCTGGGGATGTGCCTGTGCTGGATATGACCAGCAGGACCTCAGCTCCTGCTCCTCCTGCCCCCAGAGCTGCAGCTCCTGCACTGTTGGCCCAGAATTGCCCCTGGAAGGTGTGGGGAGGGAGAGAAGCAGCAGCTGCTGCCCCTCTGCAGCGTGGGCTGAGTGTTCCCCTCCTCCTGAGCTCTGCAATAAACCTGAGCCTGCAGTGTTGGTCTGGTCTGTGCCTGCAGGGGAGGGAATGGGGCGTCCTTTCCTTGTCCCCAGCTCCAGAACTGTGCTGGCAGCTGGGAGTGGAGGGCAGCAGGGCATCATTCTGGGTGGGCAGTGCCAGGGAATTGGCAGCAATCACCTTCTAATTGGGGTTTTCCTCCCTAAAAGGCTGCAGAGCCTTTTTTTTTCCTTTTTCCCCTCTTTCCTTCAAAGAAGGGACTGCCAGAACCCCTCAGTGTAACACCACTCACTCACATTTCCACCTGGGCCAGGCTTCCTCCAAGGATTTCCTCAAGATTCTACCACAGAACTGAAAACCCCAGGTCAAGGATTGCTGGCAGTGAGACAATTACCCTGCAGCAGTGCTAATTATTATTTGTGTGGCAGTAGCTCTGAGGAAATCAGCAGCACCTTTTATTTGACACTGAGCTACCTCCAGAGAGAGCTGAGGCATTAAAGACACAAATGCACCGAGAGTTTTCAACCCCTTTTTAGCTGAAGGTGTGTGTTTTGCTCTTGTGCTCACATGGTGAGGTTAAACTGCTCTGACCAGTCTGTGCTCCTCCCAACACCCACTTCAGGGAGATTTGGTTTTATTTTATCCCCGAGGGAGCTGCTCTGGTTTGCCACATTTCTGGTATTTCTGCTGAGGTTTTTTCTCAGCCTCATGCACTCATGTGCCAGTTCTGGCTGCTTGGGGTTTTTCCTGTTCTTTATCTTTCTAGAGTGGTTTTTTCTACCTCTCCATCCAGCTACTTCTGGGGAGATTTTTAACTCAGTTTTTCATCTTTCTAGAGTGTCTTCCATGTCTCCATCTAGCTGCCTCTGGGGTTTTTTTCCCTCTGTTCTTTCTGGAATGTTTCCCACCTCTCCATCTTGCTGCTTCTAGGGTTTTTTTAACTCAGTTTTTCATCATTTTGGAGTCTTTTCCACCTCTCCATCCAGCTATTTCTGGGTTGGTTTTTTTTCCCCCTCTGTTCTCTCTGGATTGTTCTCCACATCTCTCAGGTACAATGCTACCTGGTAGAATTCTGTGTTCCCTCCAAGCCTCACCCTGCCCCAGTCCCACCTCATTTTCCCCAGGCTGTGCTGATGCCTCAGCTGAGGAATCCCACCCTCAGCACGGAGCAATCACTGCATGCTTGTCCTTTGCACCTGGAATTCTTGGAGGATTTGCCCACCCAGTGCTGGATATGAGCGAGCAGAGCCACGCTGCCAGCCTGGAGCTGAGCCATGTGTGAACATGCAGAATTCACACAGGCTTGTTGAATTCACTGCAGGCTTGTCCTCTGCACCATTTCCTACCTGGAATTCTTGGAGGATTTGCCCACCCAGTGCTGGATATGAGCGAGCAGAGCCACGCTGCCAGCCTGGAGCTGAGCCTGAGTGAAAAGCAGAACATGTGAGCAGCCCCAGTGAGGATCCACCTCTTGGCACAGGGCTGCCCTGGGGTGAATCCCCACCTCCCCGGGCAGGGCAGGGCAGGGCAGGGCAGGGCAGAGGAGCTCCTGTGCCTCCCCAGCAGGCAGCAGAGCCAGCTGTGCCATGGGCACGGAGCGGGGCAGGCTGGGCAGCCTGACCGTGTTCAGCAAGGAGGATTTCGAGGATGAGTGGCTGCGAGTGGCCAGCGGGGGCTTTGGCCACGTGTACCAGGTGAAGCACAGGAGGTGGAGGACGGTCTATGCTGTGAAGTGCTCCCCGTACCTGCTGCAGGACTCCAGCATGGACAGGTAACCCCTGATCAGCTCTGGCCATCCCAGCTGGAGGGACTGGGGGATGAAACTCTGCAGAAGGAGCTTCGGCTCCTTGGGAAGGGTTGGGTACCCAGAGGGAGTGGGGAATAGGAGTTCTGCCTTGCCCTGTCCCGTGTGGATGCACAAGGAACACGGGGAATAGAGCAGGGCTGAGGCTGGGGCTGAGCTCAGCACCTTAAACACGGATTAAAGCAGCCTGGTGGGTTATTTACAGCTGCCACTGGACACTGGGGCTGAGGTGTATCCATCCAACTGAATTAACCACCAGGTTTAAAGATGAGGGGCAGAGGATTTACAGCGGGTTTTGCTGCCCTGCTCCTGTATCCTCCAGACATCTCCGTCCTCTCCATGGGGCACCTGCAGCTCCTCTTTGCCTCTTGCTCTCCCAGCAGAGACTCTTCTGGTGCTTACCTTGAGTCTGGGGATGGAGCAGGGCCAGGCAATCACAACCACTGCTGATAACACATCCAATACTGGCAGGGCTGATGGAAAAACAGCAGAGTTGATGGACTTGTTCAATTTAAAATTTTATTCCCTCAAATCTGGAAGGATCCTGCCAGGATAAAAATCTCACTCTTGTGATTTCTTGTTGCAGACAACAACTGAGTTCAGGCTGAGCACTGCCTGTCCTCAGTTTGCTCTGCAGATTCCACATTTGCATTTTGTTCTTGTTTGTGTGTGTGGAGCGGGGGGGAAGAGTCAAATAATCAGTTTTAATTCTGTGTCTTATCAATTGTGGTACAATACCTGAGATTCTTCAACCCATGGGTAGGTCTTACTGTGGGGAGATTTTGCTTGGCTGAACCATTTTAGATGCCTGGCCTGATTGCTGGCAGCTCAGCTCCATTCCCAGGGTGCGCTTTTTAAAGGCACTCCTGGCCCTTTGCTGCCTGGCTGCTCCCCCAAACTCGTTCAGCAGGTCGGGAGGGGTGAGCCTTGGGAGAGTTTGGAGGAACAGGTCTGCCAGAGCTGGCAGCCAGCAGCAGTGCCAGGGTTCCCTGGGAGCAGTCACCGTGCCCAGGGACAGAGCTGCAGGCACAGGAGGAGCTGCAGGAGTGGCCAAGGTGTGGCATGGAGCTGTGCCTGCTCCTGGCATCCTGCTGCCAGGGAATTGGGAATTTCATGGCACCACAGAGTGCTTTGGGCTGGGAGCAGCCCTAGAGCTCATCTCCATCCTCTCTGCCCGCTCCTGGCATCCTGCTGCCAGGGACACTGGGAATTCATGGCACCACAGAGTGCTTTGGGAACAGCCCTAAAGCCCATCTGAATCCTCTCTGCCGTGGCCAGGGGCACCTTCCCCAGCTCCAGCCTGGCCTTGGACACTTCCAGGGATGGGACAGCCTCTGGGAATTCCATGACAGCCCCTCCCCGCTCTCACAGGGGAGGATTTCTCCCCATCTAACCCTGCCCTGGGGCACTTTAAAGCCATTTCAGCAGTGTCACAAGCACAGACTCTCTGTCCTCACTGCTAAGGATTGAAACAAGTGCAAGCTTTTCATCTTTTCTTTGTGCTGGCTGATTTTGCCCAAATAAACCTCAGCTCATTTTGAGAAGTCACAACACCATCCATATCAGATTTTAATCTGCAAAAGATCCCTGTGTGGCAACATTATCATCAACTCAAGGGGGAATTTGGGGTGAATATTTTTGGGGTAGGCAGTGCTCGGAAAGGCTGGGTGTCACTAAGTTACTACAGGCTTACTGAGCCGTGAATCAACTGATGAAATTTCTGACTCCCGCTGTATTTTTTATTAATTATTAATTATTAATTATTAATTATCAATTATCAATTATTAATTTTTAAAATTTCCATTTTTAATTTTAATTTTATTTTTTAGTTTTATTTTTTAATTTTTATTTTAAATTTTTTAAATTTTTTTTCCATTTTCCAGGACCAGCATGAACTGTCTAATGGAGGAGGCCAGCAAGATGGAGAAAATCAAATTCCAGCACATTGTCACCATCTACGGGGTGTGCAACAGCCCCCTGGGGATAGTGATGGAATACATGGCCAGGGGCTCCTTGGAGAGAATCCTCCCCACCCACAGAATGTCCTGGCAGCTGAAATTCAGGGTGATCCATGAGATGGGCTTGGCCATGAATTTCCTGCACAGCATGAGCCCTCCCCTGCTGCACCTGGATCTGAAGCCAGGGAATGTCCTCCTGGATGGGAACATGCACGTCAAGGTACGGCCATCGCTCCCACCAGAGCCAGGTTATTTCTGCCAGACAGCTCCAGAACCCCAGTAAGTCAGGTACTGGAGGAACACCCCGTGAAAGAGTGACCTGTGGGGTGGTTAACAAGCAGCTCCTGAGCAAATTACACTGGTGGTGTTCTCAGCATCGCACAGCCACTCTGGGCCAGCTCTGGGGATTTAAGGCTCCAGCTGCACACAGTGGCTGCACCATGTCAGGGTTTTGTCAAGCTCCAGCTGCTCCCACCTCCTCCTGCCCTGATCCCAAAGATGGGGAGATGTCTGGGTGACAGCAGGAGGGACAGTGTGAGCATTTGGGGGCATTTTCCCTGTTCCTGCTTGCAGATCTCTGACTTTGGGCTGTCCAAGTGGATGGAGCAGTCCAGCAGGATGCAGTACATCGAGAGCTCAGCTCTGAGGGGCACCCTGAGCTACATCCCCCCCGAAATGTTCCTGCAGAACAGCAAGCCCCCGGGGATCAAGTACGATGTGTACAGGTGAGGGCTGGCCCAGGGCACCCAGGGGTGTCCCCGGGCTGTGACACCCAGCAAGGGGGGCTGGACACTGCCTCAGTTTGTTTCAATTTTGCTTTTCTGCCTTGTAGAACGTGGGGAACACACAGGGGTGCCCCAGCCTCAGTGGTGAGACTGAGAGGGAGGAGGCTTTCTGTGGATAATCATCATCCCAATGCACCCTCTGCCCCAGGTGCCATCACACCCTGTTCCCAAAAACGAGTGAGATCAGAGCCCAAACACCAGCGCTGCTCTTTCATCACAGTCCCTGCTGAGACTGATTTTAAAACAATTCCAATATAGGGTTATCTGCTTCTGCGTTCAGCTTCATTTTGGTCAGGAACAGGCAGAGAAGAGGTTTCAGCTTGGCTTTTGTCCTCTTGGGCGAGGAGCATTGCAGCACATTCACATGAACCCCAAGTCCATGTCTGGAAATTCCTCAGCTCCTTGGCCTTTGCAGCACAGAGGGTAGAGGGAAGAGGGAAAGGAGGGTTTGCATGGCCACAGGAACTTGCAGGAGCCAAGGGCTTGAAACCTCAGTGTGAATAAAGTGGAAGAAAGGCACTGAGAGCCTGACTTTGCCAGGAAAGGCTCCCAGTGCCTGCTCAGACCCTTTGGAGGGTGATGACCCCGCTCCTAAGGGAGATGCATGAGGCAGAACCACAAGGCCTGATCCTTTTGGCCTGGGGGATGAAATCCTTCAGCTCTGGGAGATGAAATCCTCCCCTCCTGAAGAACCTCCTTCCTGACCTCCCCATTTCCCCAGAAGGCAGAAGCAATAAGAGCATCTCATGTCCAAGTGCTCACAGTCTCTCCTCTCCGGCAGCTTTGGCATTGTCATCTGGGAGGTGCTCATGCAGAAAAAGCCTTACACAGGTAAGCACAAACCCTGCACCCGTGGAATGTCTGTCCCAGCCCTTTTCCCAGGCAGAACACCCAGAGGTGCTGGATTTTTCCAGGAGCCAACATGATGGCCATCATCGTGAAGGTGGCGGCAGGGAAGAGGCCAGGGCTGGAGCTCGTCAGGGACGACTGGCCCGGGGAGTGCCACCAGATGGTGGACCTGATGAAGAGGTGCTGGGACCAGGACCCCAAGCAAAGGCCCAGCTTTGCAGGTGGGAATGAGGCATGGATCTGATGGGGTTTCCAGTGTTGAGATGACCCCAAGGTGTTAGAAAGTCTCTTTTTCCCAGCCCCCAAACCAAAGAAGGCGGAATTCCTTGGCTCTTGTTGTCAAGGTTGTTTATTTTCTGTTATCTCTATCATTCTTTCTCCAACCTGCTGAGATCTGTCCAGCAGCTCAGGCTGTGGCACACTGACTGCCCTCAGGGCAGTGTTATCTTTTTATACTAAAGACTACCTGTACTTTATTTATAATTACTTTCCAATACCTATCACTTGTGTTAGACAGTCTGTCTCTACTCTAAACCAATCTAAAAGTGTCACCATCACAGCAGAAGATGGAGGCCAAGAAGAAGAAGGAGAAAGACTGGAAATGCCCAGATTCCTCCATCTTGCCCCCTGAACCCCCATTCTAAAAACCCCAAAATTCTACATTTTCACCCTGTGATAAATTCACTATAATTCTATTCAAACCCTTGTGGCTTTTAACTCCTTGCACAAAGCTGATAATTGTTTTCATGGGTTAAAATCAAAGGCATAGGTGTCTTGGGCTCTGTGCTGAGCCCCTTGCCAGGGTCTCAAGTCCTCCAGGGCAGCCAGAGGAATTTCCTGGGTTCGGACATGGATCAGCCAAGGGTCAGCGCCATGGGTTTATGAGCTGGGTTTGTGTCCCGTTTTCCCAGTTCCACCTCTGAGGTTTAACAGCTGGGTGCCCTTCTGCTGTCACACATCCCCTCATCCCTTCTCCGTCCCTTCCCACGTGGCTCTGGAGCTGGGGCACAGCTGAGCTGAGCTGCTCTGCCCTGGCAGATATCCCTGTGGAGACCGACGTGCTGCTGGCTCTGATCCAGAGCCTGGTGCAGGACCCGGAGAACGAGCGCCTGGTCAGGAAGATGTCCCACAAACCGGCCATCTCCAGGAGCCAGCAGGTGAGCAAACCCCCCTGTGCCTCTCAGGTACCTCCTCTGAGCCTGCTCCTTGTTCTGACCAGACCTTGAGGCTCTTTCCCCTCCCAGAGGTGCCCCTCAGCACCTTCACAGGCTGTCTGCACAGGCTGTGCCTCTGTAATTCATTTATGGGGATGAGACACCTGCAAATTAATCAACAAATGCACTAAATGATAAATAGTCTGAGAGGAAAACTCTTTTCTGGAACTGCCCAGGTGAAGTGGGTTTATTATTCAGTCACTAAAAGAAACTCGAGCAAACACAGAATCACAGGCTTCTGTTCATGGCACAAATCTGAGGATGTTCCAGTTTGAACAATTCTTACAGAAATATTTGTAAAAAGTAGTTTTAAATCCCCCTGTTTCTCTAGCTAAGAAGAAGATCAGGCTTCTGGATAGTCACGATGTAATCCCAGCTACTGGAGTAATTATGCCTAGAAAACAGGGAGAGATAGGAGTTGGGAATTATTGGTATTTAGAGGGTTTTGCCAAGCTGTGCAAGAAACCAGAGGCCTGAAGAAGTATGGGCTTGGGGGTCCCTAAACAACAAAGGAAATAATTTTCAGATGCTGCCATGCAGTCAGGAAGCAGAGTATGGATGTGTTTGGGAGCAAATGAGCACAAGGAGGAAGAGCTCATGGATATCCAGAGATCATCTTCAGGCTCCCCCATGCCTGCTGTGTCATGATTGGCTTAGCTGAGTTTTGGGTGCAAAAAGAGGATTGGATGAAAAACTCTCAAATGATAACACAGAACTGCAGAGCAGCAGCAAAGGGCTTTGTGCAAACATTATAGAATGCAAATAAACACTCTGTTTTATCCTTTTCCTTTCCTCCTTTCTGGAAACAAGGGTGACAAAGAGGAGTTCACCTTCCCTCGAGACACCAGGAGTGGGGGTAAGTAGGAGGCTGGCTTTAAAATTGAAAATGAAAGAAGGGGAAGCTATAAAAGTTGTTTGTTTTGTTGTAGAAGGATGTGGCTCATAAGGTTTTCCTTGTGGGGGACATTTTTGAGTAAGGAAAAGTTTAAGTTAAGGAAAAGTTTAAGTTAAGAAAAATGTACTATTAAGGAAATAGGTACTGTGAGAGAGAGGCCAAATGTCCCAGGTCATGTCTGGCCTTATTTTACATTCCTTATCTCTCAAATGACTTCATTCCATGTCATCCTACCAAGAGCCACAGGCTCTCTCTCCCTTCCTGGGAGTTTTTCACTCTTTTTCTCCCATTTCGCATCCCTGTCTTTAGGAAAGGACCCGCAGGAGGTTCCTGTCCCACCTCCACATGTGGAGGCTGGCACCCCAGAGGAGCTGTGCCCCGAGGAGCTGGGCAGGGTGCAGGAGAACGGCCTGACCCCGCTGCACCTGCAGGT